TTACCTCAGCATCCTGAGTAGCTGGGACTACAGCCACAATGCCTGGCTCACTCTTGGGGTCTCACTTTTACACAGGGCTGGTCATGAACTCCTGAGCTCATTTAATTCACCTGCCTCAGTCTCCCAGAGTGCAAGGATTAAAGGAGTGCGCCACCATGCTCAGCTCTTTTTTTTTCTTTTCCTTCGTGATAATGCTCTGTTCTTGTTTTGTGGACCTGGTACTTTATAACTTTATAAAGCTGGCATTGTGTGTGGTTTGGATTTCTGAGATTTTTACTTGGTCAAGGGTTTTCGCTTTACGTGTTCTTCTGTCTCCTATCTTGCTTCCCTGCACCTTCTTGTTTTGTTTGGGTCCCTTACATTGGGGTTTGACTCCTATGGGGCCTCCAGGTGATCCTTTGCAGATATGGTGGGGCATATGGAATTTTAAGGTTCCAGAAGCTGAACTGGATGGAGGGGGTGTCATGTAAACAGGTTCTCAATGGCTTCTCCCCTTTACTACTGTGGACAGCACCAGCATACCCAGCCCCTGGCACAGTCCACCTTTCTCTGCCTGGTCTAGCATTGCGTTCCAGGGTCATCTCCCTCCCTTTTCTCTCTGTTGGGTTTCCTCATTGGCAGTGTTTTCAGGAGTATATTGAGACAGGCATGTATTTAGTATGCACTGTGTTCTGTGGGCATTCTTCCTCTGTGTTTAGGAACTCTGGCCATCCTCATAGAAGGGACTGCTATAATAAAAGTCTCTGTACATTTCAAAATTCTTGTGAGGTTTTTGTCATTTCTTTTTTTTTTGCAGTTTTTGGCCAGGGCTGGGTTTGAACCCTCCACTTCGGTATATGGGGCTAGCGCCCTTCTCCTTTGAGCCACAGGCGCCACCCTCTTGTGAGGTTTTTGTTATTTTTGTTTTTGTTTTGAGACAGAATCTCTCTGTTGTTCATGCTAGAATGCTGTGGCATCAGCCTAGTTCACAACAGCCTCAAACTCCTGGGTTGAAGTGATCCTCCTGCTTTAGCCTCCTGAGTAGCTGAGACTACAGGTGCCTGCCACAACACTTGGCTAATTTCTCTATTTTTAGTAGAGGCAGTCTCATTCTTGCCCAGGATGGTCTTGAACTCCTGAGTTCAAGGGATTCTTCCACCTCAGCCTACTGGAGTGCTAGGATTACAGGTGTGAGGTGCCATGCCCGGCCTGTAAGTTTTGAATAGGTAACATGGTTTGGAAACAAAAGGACAAGTATCCAAAGGGTATTGGGTCCAGCTTGATGGGGTTCTGTTGGCTACACATGGCATGTTGGCAGCATCAAATCAGCACTGGATGGCCAGTTCTAGCCCACTGAACAAGACCAGCCCATATGAGCCCATGTGGATAGCAAAAAATGCATAAGAGGAATCTCCTTGTAGTTACCATCAGACAGTTGCCCAACCATGATTCGGCCAAGAACTGCCAGGGTGCAGGAGCCCTGGGGGAGGCTGTCCTCCTGGGTGGCCTATGTCCAACAGTATCAGTCAGCATGTGGCCAAGCACCAGACCCAGTGTGCCTGATGTGAAGGAGCTTATTATACTGGCGCCTCTGTCTTGCTGCTGACCCTAACAGAGCACTACTGCAGTTTCTTTTCGAAGTTCTCTGTGTACTATTAGGTGCTAAAAGTCTCGGATTTTTTTTTTTCGATCAGTATTTGATAAAGTGACTCTTCTTTCAAAAGTATCTGGAGCATGCAAGTGCCTGGTAGCCCCCATTATCCCACCAAAGGTGTCTTCTTGCTTAGGACCCTTCTCTGCAGTCTGCCTGGTCTCTGCTGGTCAGTACAAGCTAACTTGATTGGTGTGCCTGTATTTGTGCTCTGCTGAGTGGATTCTGTGGTTACAGTGTATGGCAGACACAACGTGTGCTCTTACAGTAGTGGATTGCTAAGGGCATCCTGGGGTACCTGGCAGTGCCCAGCTGCTGCTGTGCTTCTGAGGAGGCTAGCACCACCTAAGTTCTTTCCTTTCTGGGTGACCATGGCTCAAACTGGCTGGATGAGCCCACCTACCCCAGCAAGGCCAGGCATCCTCAAAGCTCCCAGCATGAAGGGTAGAGGCTGACTCATAGTCCTGCGGCTCTGTGTGTGGGCCCTTATCCTTATGTACTGCTGTCCTGAACATGGGGAGAGTGTCGGTGGTTCTCTTTCTAGTGTACAGTTTCCATTTTGGAGTGTAGAGAGCCTGGCTTGTGTCTGGTCTCCAGGTAGTGAGCTGTCCCTCCCCAGTGTGTGTGGAGCCCAGATGCTCAGGTGTGGAGATAGGGCAACTGCTTCCTGACTCAGCCCTTTTCCCACAGCTTCCCTGCTTTTCCAGCTTGAGGTGGATGGAGGGGCCCAAGAGGCTGAGTTCTTTGTGGCTGGGAGTATAGCATATCCCTGCCCTCAAGCTTCCAGGAGGGAGGGTGGGTGGCCTGTGCTGCCCCCGGGCTTCTGCTGAGCAGCGCACAGAAACAGATGCAGAACACCTCTTTCCCCCAGGTGTCCCTGGCCAGTGTTGCTGACACCCGTCTACAAACATGGGGAACATCTTTGCCAACCTCTTCAAGGGCCTTTTTGGCAAAAAAGAAATGCGCATCCTCATGGTGGGGCTGGACGCTGCAGGGAAGACGACAATCCTGTACAAGCTGAAGCTGGGTGAGATCGTGACCACTATTCCCACCATAGGTGAGGCAGTGTGGGGCTGGTAGGGGGTAGGGCTGGAGGGGCAGGAAGAGTGAGTGGGGCCTCATTCTGCACCTCTCTCAGGCTTTAACGTGGAGACCGTGGAGTACAAGAACATCAGCTTCACTGTGTGGGATGTGGGCGGCCAGGACAAGATCCGGCCTCTGTGGCGCCACTATTTCCAGAACACACAAGGTGAGGGAAGGGGCCTCACATCCGGGCACAGAGCTCACCCTGGCATTGGCAGCTGGGGCAGTGGCCTGTGGGTGCGCTGGGTGGGCTGCACCGGGGTCAGCTTGACGCTAGCTGCTCTGCAGGCCTAATCTTCGTGGTGGACAGTAATGATCGAGAGCGTGTGAATGAGGCCCGCGAGGAGCTCATGCGGATGCTGGCTGAGGATGAGCTCAGGGACGCAGTTCTCTTGGTGTTCGCCAATAAGCAGGTAGGCTCCTGGAGCACCAAGGGGAGAGTGGGACTGGCAGGGCCCCTGCTTTCTGCCCCGGGGAGGCCCACTTGCTGACTTCTCTTTCCCCCAGGACCTGCCCAACGCCATGAATGCGGCCGAGATCACAGACAAGCTGGGGCTGCACTCCCTTCGCCACAGGAACTGGTACATTCAGGCCACCTGTGCCACCAGTGGGGATGGGCTCTATGAAGGACTAGACTGGCTGTCCAATCAGCTCCGGAACCAGAAGTGAACGCGACACCCCCCCCTCCGCCCTCCGCTTCACTTTCATGTGGCAAACGTGCGACTCTGTGGTATGAGTGCCAGAAGCTGTCTCCATGGTTTGGTCACAGTGTGCATCGCACCATGCTGTAAATGTGGCAGACGCAACCTGCAACCAGGTTTTTTATTTAATGTAAATAGTTTTTGTTTCCAATGAGGCAGTTTCTGGTACTCCTATGCAATATTACTCAGCTTTTTTTATTGTAAAAAGGAACTCACTGTTCAGTGCTGAGAGGGGTTTAGGGCTGCAGGCACCTGGCCATCAGGAGTCACTGTGGGAGCCAGGCCCTCCTATCTGGAGGGTTATGTTGAGATCTATGCTGGTGGTTGGTTTTTAACCCATACTCAGTGCATTTTTTTAAATAGCTAAAATCCAAGACAGGAACACTTGAACACACGGAAGGGAGACCCCGCCTGCTTAGTGTAGGTTTGCAGCGACAGCCTGAATGCCAGCCATTGGCTTGGCCGTTCCCCTTGGGGACGTGAGGCAGTGGCTTGTAGACCTTTGTCAATTCTGCATGGTCACCATAGAGACCCTCTGACTTGCTTGTCGCTGGGGCACCCTGCATTCCATAGCCTTGCTTGTCCCCATGCTCCCTCAGTTCCTGGGGCCTGGCTGAGAGCCCCTAGCTGTCCTCCCGCCCGCTCAGGGGACACAGGGCCCCACCCGTACATTTGGTCAGCATTCCCCGTGCTCACGCCTGCTCAGACACGGTGGGATGTCTGGGGCCTCACCAGCAGGAGTGTGGGCAAGCTGGGCATCTGGGCCCTGGCCCCAGGAGCACCCCCCATGTGTGAAGTAGCTTTTTCTCCCTCAGCCTGCAAGGGTCCGATTTGCCATCGAAAAAGATGACCTCTACTCTTTTCTCTTGTATTTTGATAAACACTGAAGAAGCTGGAGCTGTTAAATTTATCTTGGGGAAAACCTCAGAACTGGTCTATTTGGTGTCGTGGAACCTCTTACTGCTTTCAATACACGATTAGTAATCAACTGTTTTGTATACTTGTTTTCAGTTTTCATTTCGACAAACAAGCACTGTAATTATAGCTATTAGAATAAAATCTCTTAACTATTTCACGGGCTCTCCAGTGCTTCCACACTGCTGCCAATACATGTCCCACAGGAGGATATGGTGGGAGCAGGTAGCTCCATTCCAGAGAGAGCAGGTGACCTGCCCAGCTCAGCTACACACCTAATCGGTTTCATATGCCCTTCCCCCCTCCCCTGTGGGAGGGAGGGGAGAGGGTTTTCTCTCAGTAGGAACCCATGCCTGGACCTGGCTGGTCTCTTGCAGGCCCCTCTCCCCAGAGGCCCTACCTCATACATTTGCACTGGTGGGCAGGGCCACTGCCAACTCATGGGTGCTTTGCACCAACCAGGGGAGGGCCTCTCCTTGGGGTGAAGAGCAGCAGCCTGTGGGGGACATTTTGCTGGGGTGTGGCAGACCCAAGGCCTTCCACTCCTGGGCAATGTGAGGGGCTACCCAGGAAGCAGTGCCTGCTCAACCCCCTGCCCTGTATGCAAGATAATGTGATCTCCAGGTGGTCACAGGTGAGGGCAGAGATCAATGCAACACAAGCCACACCCCTCCAGGTCCTCAGGAAGCATTTAATTTTTTTAATCAGAAGCAAGAGAATACATAAGGAATCCGGCCTGATTATACAGTGCCTTTATATCATGCAGCCCAGTGGCCATGTATGCTCCAGGGCAGCTATAACCCTTCTTGGCCCAGGCAGATAGGACATGTGGCCACCCTGTGAGGAGCCAAGCTGGATTCCCATGGGCCAGCAGGGTCTTGAGGAGGTGGCCCAACTCCTACTTGAAGGGGCTGCTCCACTTTTTGGACCCTCAGCCTGCCTTTGGGTGTCTGCTGGGCCCTGACTGCACATGGGGAAGACTCCTAACTCCCCTGGACAAATTCAGGAAGGCCAGGCCCTGGGGGTCCTCCAGTTTCATAGTGGGCATCAGTACCTCCTTACAGTGACCTTGCAATGAAGTTTCCTTTTAAAATAAATTTATTTAAGTACAAAGAGTGAGTCAATATAAAGAAAAATAGAAGTGACCCTACATGGCCACAACTAAACTGGGGACGGAGTTAGGGCACAGAGGCTACAGACAGGATATGGAGTTGGGTCTCTGCTGGGACTTCCTGGGTAGGTTCACCTTTGCCTGTGGGCTGAGAACCTTCAGTGCAGGCCAGGCTGGGCCAGGACATGCTCCCCTAAGAACTTGCTGGGTTCCATGTACACCCAGGCCTTGCTACCTTGGAGGAGTTTTCATGAAGCAGGCCCCTTCTGCCTGGCTGGCATTGTTCCAAGGCCCAGCAGGCTGAGCCCAGGGCCACTCCAAGGGAATAGCCCTCACCCAAATAGGAAGGGCAAGGCAGAATGGGACAGGCACTCAGGCATCAGAGTCTCTGTCATGCCTCCTGGTGGACAGGCTCCTCCCACCATCTCCACTGTGTCCCTGCTTCCTCCTCTTGCAGCAGGGGGAGGAGGAGTCAGAGTCGTGGTGGCGGTGGTGGTGTCCAAGCCTAGAAAGACACCAGACAGGCAGAGGGGTCAGACGCTCAAGAGTGATGGAACAGTGCCCCAACCACCAAGTGGCAGAACCAGGCTAGGCCTACCGAGCAGGAGATATGGGTGAGGGGGTCTCAGCCTGCCGCCTGTGCTCCTTATCTTTCTTCTTCTCTTTCTTGTGTTTCTTCTTTTTCTTTTTCTTCTTCTCTTTCTTGCTCTTCTTGTGACCCTCAGAGCTACAAGGAGGTCACAGAATGGGCCTCAGCCCAGCGAGACTCCAGGCCTAGGCGGGTCCCCTTGGAGGAGGGGATCCCATTGCCCACTAAGAAGTCAGCTAAAACTAATGCAAAATTCAACCAAGGGGACCGCGTTTCAGGAGCTGGACAGTCACACATAGCCAAGTGGGTACCACAAAGACACAAAAAAGTCACACCACTCCCCACCTGCCTAACCTCACTCTGCTCTCCTGCCTACACCTGGGGCAGTGCCTACTATGACCCCATGTGAGGTAGACTCACCCCAAAGGCCCTCCTGCAGTGCAGCCCATAGCACTGGCTTATGCTGGGCAGCCCTCCCTGCCTTAGGACCCTCTCCTGCCAAAGGTGACGCCAAGAAACTCTCTCTCCCAGAGACAACTCAGAAGGAGGGGGAACCAGAGAACAAGGCAGGGCAGCTCACCTGGCCTCTGCCTGGTCCTCTACTCGAGGCTTCTTTCTGGTGGTGGGTGCCGAGGCTCCGGGCCCACCGCTCTCCACGCGGTGATGCTGCAGCAAAGCCATACTTTGGGGAGGGGCGTCCCCCAGGCACTCCAGGGAATGCTCCCCCCCGGGGTTCCCGCCCCCACCCCCCGCATGGGACTTCACCGCATTCTGAGTGGGCAGGAAGATTACCGTGAACACAGCAAGCCCCAGCTTGGCGGCTTCCTTATCTTCCCGGGACAGTGCCACGCGTCCCGCGGAACCACTGCGGGGACACGGAGATGAGTGCCGTCCAGCAGGGTCCCAGCCCCACCCAATACCTCCCAGGACGCGGCCATACCTGGCACTGCCTAGCCCTAGCAGCCGGTCCACGCCTTTCTCCGGGTCCCCGCTTTCCCGCTTACACACCTCCACAAAGTCCTAGGGGGCATAGGAGAAGGGCGGGTGGGCGGGAAGACCCGTCAACTAGACCCTGCCCACCCCACGCTCTCCGCCACCGCCCACTCCAGGGAGTTACCTCTTTGCTTAGGCCGGTAGGCTGCTTCTTCACATTCTTGTAGCCGCTGCCAGGGGACCAGGGCGGGCGTTAGAGTGCGAAGGACTCTCCTCGTCCTCCGCTGCCCAGTTACCTGCAACACCCCCCTCTCCACTGCAGCCCCTGGGGACCCCTCAGGTCTCCGGTTCCCCTAGTCCTTGCCCTGGGGACACTCACAGAGCGGCCAGCAGGGCCTCGCGCTCCGCCTGCCGCACGGCTGCCAGCTCCTCTTCGCGGCTTGGCCCCGCGCACGGCGCCCGGCCCTTGGCGTACCAGGTGAGGTCGCGGCCCTTCTGCCAGCGACCCACGGGCGCCATCAGCGAGTTACCTGTGGGAGAGGAATCATAAGTCCCGCGCCCGTTCCCCGCCCGCCCTCCTACGGACCCTAGACTCGGGACCCCTCCCGCTGCGCACACCTACCCAAGTAGTTCTCCCTCTGCTTGTCGGTTTTTACATCCTCCCAATTAAACTGGTCCTGTCCGCCGCGCACACCGCCTCGGCTGGAGCCGAACATGGCGCCCGGGCGGCCGCCGCCCTCGGCCAGCCACCGGCGACCCCCGACAGCCGAATCCTGATCCTGTCTGGCCCGCCTCCTCCCCCGCCGCGCGCTGTGACGTCACGCCCGCGCCGGCAGGGAGCCGTCGTACCGTCTGCAGGGACCCCGCGCGCTTGCGCGTCACCCTCACCCTTGCACTAGGCCGCTGCACACGGCTTCGGGCCGTGCGCCTGCGCACCGCGGTCCCAGGCCCAGCGCGCCCGTGCTCTGCTCGGATCCCTCCCGGGGCGGGGTCTGTGCAGTGGGAAGTCAGGGGCCATGGGTTTATGGAAAGTCAGCCTGATGGGGACAGACTGACAGACATAAAGTTTAAGGTGACCAGACATCCCGCTTTTGAACAATTTGACCTGCGTCCTGCAGCGTTTTTTAAAAAGTCCCGATTTTTGGAAAGAATGCACGACAAGCTAGGGAAGGGAGGGAGAATGGGAAGGGAATATACGGTTTTCGACTGCCGAAAAGGTTAATGTAACTCCATTTTGGAATGAAGAGGTTAATGTAACTTCATTTCGTAATGAAAAGGCTAATGTAAACTCCTTACTCCCCTCCCCTGCAAGGTCGCCCAGGTGGAATCGGTATCAGGAGGATACTGGCTCCCTCCGTCATTTCTAGGCAAGGACAA